TATTATGGGCTCATATTTTGGCCAGAAGCTATGATTTAAAATGCCTTGATGGATTTGTTTCTTACAAACACACAGTTTTATACTTCAGAAAACATTAAGTTGAGCTGTGCGAATTACTTGTGGATTATTGTGATGTTTTTATCAGCTGTTTGAACTCTCCTTCTGACGGCACCCATTCACTGCAGAGGATCCATTGGTGAGAAAAAGATGTAATGCTAAATTTCTCCTAATCTGTTCTGATGAAGAAACAAACTCATCTACATCTTGGATGGCCTGAGGGTGGGTACATTTTCACCAAATTTTCATTTGAGTACACTATTCCTTTAAAATCTGCATTCTGGCTTTTTAAAGTACAATATCAAAACAAATCTTATATCTAAAGTCTGCCACCAAGTGGAATTAGACTAGTTGCTTTACAAAGAGAAACGTGCTGGTATAAACAAGGCCTGGTGTGTCAAAGGCACATTACAACTCTCACAAGATGTTCATTACTTGGCATTAAAAAAAAAAAAAGGCACATGTAGTTCAATTATCTTCGTCTCTACAACCAAATGAAATCCCCTAAATAATATGGTAAACAAGCATTGTGACTCATTACAAGACCAGACAGAAATCTTTTTGGTTGTCTTTGCACTAACCCAACCCATCATTGAATTCACCCTATTCGGTGCCACTCTAAATAATTTACTCCGATAGCCAAATGTATTTAAAGCAGATCAATACCATTAAAGGACAGCTGGGGCATACTGAATAAACAGAGAGCACTCTCCAGAACTACACCAGCCTCCCACTGCATACGTTTATTCAATCTATCTTTATCTGATCTGCCATCACACTAACCAACAGTGGCGTAGAAAGAGTTAAAGAAATCAATGGCTCTCACTCACTTTCCTACCATCCATTGGAAGCACAAGCACAGAGGACTCCACAGCCTAAAGTAAGCGTTAAAGAAAAGTCTGTTCAATAAAAGCTCAGTAGCGTGTATCAAATTTCCGTGTTCGTCTAGGTTTAGTTTTCCACCTTTTAGATCAGAATGATATGACTAAATGGTGGGGGTGATACATCAGCACCTTTACAATGGGATGGGTTATACATTTGGGGCCAGGTTTGAGGTGGCCGTGTGTGTTTTTCCCTCTTGCTTAGCCATCCTGTCTCCAGAGCGAGTCAGGGAGGGTGGGGGGCTGACTTTAGATGGCGCAGCAGCCTGAGGAACGCAGGCAGGGATGTGAAACCTGATCTATATCGCCTCTTAACCCTCCCGCCCCCTCTTCCCCTCCAACCTCCCCACGCTGCCACCTCGCTACAGACTCCCACTGCAATCCGATCCCTTGCACTGTGGCTGAGATTGAAACAAACTCCTAGAGGGCTCCAGGGCAACTCAATCGGGGCCTGGCTGATATTTTAAAAAACAGATAGGAGGGGAAAAACATCTGTTTATTGTTGTATGATATTACAGCCTTTTAAGCAATTAAGTGATTGAATTCGCACATTATCGGAGGGCAGATTTGTGCCAAATAGAATATATGTCAATAAAAAGTAAAACATTACTTTCATGAGTCATTTTCAAATTGAGGAGGATGCAAAGGATTGCTAGAGGGTCCATAGGTATGTTTAGAGACAAACAGTGTAAAATTAATAATAATAATAATAAAACAATAAAAATAAGATTAAAATAAATTAATACATATAAAAATAGTAATACATCAAAATAAAATAATAAATATTTGATTATTATAATAATATTATTATTATAATTATAATAATAATTAACTTAATAGAAAAAAAATCTTTTCCGGTCTTATATAGACAGGTGTGTGGCTTTCCTAATCAAGTCCAATCAGTATAATCAAACACAGCTGGACTCAAATGAAGGTGTAGAACCATCTCAAGGATGATCAGAAGAAATGGACAGCACCCGAGTTAAATATATGAGTGTCACAGCAAAGGGTCTGAATACTTAGGACCATGTGATATTTCAGTTTTTCTTTTTTAATAAATCTGCAAAAATGTCAACAATTCTGTGTTTTTCTGTCAATATGGGGTGCTGTGTGTACATTAATGAGGAAAAAAAATTAACTTAAATGATTTTAGCAAATGGCTGCAATATAACAAAGAGTGAAAAATTTAAGGGGGTCTGAATACTTTCCGTACCCACTGTACATATACAGAGCGAGAGAGACATTTACAATACAATTTTTTCACTGTATAAATTGGGTATTTATACAAGAAACTATATAGATGCCTTTTAGGATGATCATATTTGGGGGTTTGTGGCATCTAAAAGATTGAAACCCCCTACACTAAACCATGTACTCACTTTGGGCACAAAGCACTCGACCATCACATCTGCATAACAACTGATCATTAATTAACATTCAAAGTAAGACTGAACAAGTAATTGCTCTAGCAGTTACTGTAAATACAGTGTTACATGCTACATAACACAAATAACAGGACATATGATGAGTCAATGTATTGCACTTTTTAACATAATAGATCATCCACAAATGTACATTCTTTCATCATTTACCAATTCTCATGTCATTCCAAACTTGTATGACTTATGTTCTTCTGTGAAAAATAAACGATGATGTCACCACTCATTTTTACTGTACGGGTAAAAATACTGTTAAAGTGAATGGTGACTTCTGCCTCACATCTCCAGAGCACATGAGGCTGAGTAAATGATCCCAATTTTTATTTTCGAAAGAATTACCCTTTAACAAACCCTGATTTTGTCCTCATCAGCACAGTTTTTTTCATAGGAGATCCTGCATCAAGCTGTGGAATGCACAGATTTCTGGCATATATATACTACAAGCCTTTAGCTTTAATTTTCTCAAATAAATCCACTTTCCTCAGACTAAGCCTCTCTCCTCCAGGCTTCTCGAAGCAGACTGCTTCACAGGCAGTGTTACCATCTGTTTTTTGACCTCCTTGAGAAGGTAAAAGAGCTGAGCAGACCCCCTTCCCCCCAGAACCCACAAATTAAAAGCAGCTTTTGTATTGAGCGGGCTAGCATGGCCAAGAGACTAAAATCTGGGAAGAAGTACAAAATGTACAGTAAAACCAGTATAATTTAAATGCAACAAATTTCCACAAACCTACGCATACAATAATATAAGTCAAAAGCAGCTTTTTGTATTGAGGCGGATACGTGAGCAAAACAGCCTAAAGTTAAAAACAACCCATGAAAAGAATATATAATCCAAAGTATAAATAAACACGCTATTGTGAAGTGAAACAAACATGAAATGTAAAACAGTTTCCATAAAAGAGATAAATAAACATTTAGAAGCAACACACAGCTGTCAGATTATTAGGGAAGTTGTTGCTAGCATTACGCGACTGTCGCGTTAATAACTTTTTACTCGGACTTTTACAAACCCTGACAGTTTTCTTCAAACAATAATAATGCTATGGTAAACATATAATATAACGAAGATTTACAAAGACAATGTATTACTTTGAAACAAGACCGTACGTGTTGGTAGTTATGGGAGTAAATTTAAACGTATTTTGACTTGCTAACGGGGATAGCCCACTAGCTATCGTTCAACTCGCTTCACTCTTGAGGAAATCTCCCGACAAAATCATTTAACAAACGCGTAAACGCTCAGCGTTTTTTCTCTTTAAGACTTGCACATTTGTGTACAGCGTAGTAAAAAAATAAAAAATATAAAAAACACCACGGCAGTCGGTTTTGCCTTTGTAACGCGGTTAAAACATTACGTGGAAATGGAAAATTTAGCGCAACAAACTTTCGCGAGGCAGCGTTTAGCATAGCCAAGCTAACACTTTCCATTTCACTTACCGAAAAGGTTCTTCAGTAAATCTTATTTCCCGTCAATTTATTGAGCTCTAGACACTTGGATAACTCAGAGGGTTCGTTTCTACTCGTGCTCGTGCTGGACTCTCATTGAGGTCTGTTAAGGGTCTGGCACTGACCACTTACTACATACACTAGTGACTGCAGACAACTCTCTGTCACGGCAGCGAGCGCGCTGATTGAGCGACTCCCAGCGCCCCCTGGCGACTGAAGCGAAAAAAACTAAATAGACTGGTAATTCGATGCTAATAAAAATCATATCAGAGAGAAATCATATTAGTGCAGTCGTTATGTTACTGTTTTATTAAATGAATGATAAACACGAGGCTATCATTTTAATAAATGATTTTAAAAGATTTTAATAAAACAAATAGAGATTTAAATACTACAAATGTGAATTAGTAGTAATGGGGCTGTCCAGACTGCAGTACAGTTTAATGATATTTAATCATACATTGAGAACAGTGCCCATAAAATGTTGTGTTATGAGCTATTTTCAGTTAATAAAGCAACTTAATACTTTTATGTTTAACACTTCAGTGCAGATTCAGGTGAATTTTTGGCCATTAAGGCAATGGTCAAAGTAAGCACAAAGTAAGGCTGTTTTCACAAGATAATTTCAAATACAAAAAAGAGAACAAGTTATTGTATTAGAGCAGCATCTCAGTTTGAACTCTCACACATAAACACCAAGAGAGACACTGAATTTTTCAACAGAAGAAGACTGTAAAGACACTTGTTAATACTCCAGAATGTCATGTTTATAAATATGAGCGTCACATAACACATACTGTATATTCTTTATTGTATCATTGCAACACTAATGATCGGCAAATTTATGTAATTATGGATCAATCTTTTATCTCTGTAATTCCCAGGTGAACTGCACAATATCGCAGATGGCAAATTGAGATAATACATTGTGTAAAATGACTGCTTTGCATTCAATAGTGTAATTACATCAAATAAATCTGTTTTTGAAAAATGCTAAAAAGATACAACATTCCCACTTCTGAACCCAACACTGCTAATAATGTAATTTTAAGCAACTTACTAATCTTGTGTAAAAAAAGAAGCTAACAATTTATTAAATTTAAGAGAGGCAATTATGATATGCCAAACCATTGTGTTAGTAATATAAAAAAAACAAAAAAAACAAGCCAAATTCAAAAGTAGCCCTAAGAACACATTTCAACTGATATGGTAGGTTAGATTAACTTCAATATGGCAGTGAAAATATATACTGATAAATCAAGGACACGCTCATAAAATGTCTAAATAAAAGTTATATTAAGTGAATTGTATGCATAACATATCAATATTACAAAGGAAAACCTGAGTGTCTGCAATTGCAATCTCAGAATTTGACCCTGATGTTCTTTAATAGCGTGGCATGAAACAAACACTTTACTGTAATCTTAAAGATGCACATCAGAGTTGGGTAGCATATACCCACAGAGAAAAAAAAATATCGCAGGTGCCCCATTTGTTATTCATTTTAAGAAACGTATTAACAACACAACTTTCATCCTGTGAGTGTGTGTGGCTGTCTTGTTAAATAAAGAATTTATTCAATAAAAATCTGAATCCCTCCTTGGCAAAGAAAACAAGTAAATTATCCATGCAAATTCAGAACAGTACAGCATTTGCAAAGATTATGTAAATATTGAGGTTTTGCACACAATAAATAACAGAACAAAAATCAACTATCATAGGTGACAAGGCAAAACATGAACAATTAAAAAAAATTATGTTAAACCTTGAGAGCTGAACATTATTACAGCTAATTATGTCTTGCATACACTTTGAGGGCAATAATTAATACATTTAAATAAATTCTGCTACCTTTTCAGATGCCCTGCTTATATTCTTAAAATAAGTTGATAAAAACAGAATGACACATAATGCTAATGTTGACATCACATACGCATGAGTTAGCTCACTTGCTTTCACACACACTAAAAGCACAAATAAACAAGATTAGTAACACATAAAACACTCATTCAGTATTGAAAAGACTGCACAACAACATCTCAACATCCAGTCTCAATCTATTTAACAACCTTTTGTGACTGATATTCAAGTCAGGGATCCACAGGCCTCATTACTGTTCAGGAAAACAAATAGTAATGGAATAAAACACATTTAAATTTACTTTAGAGTTTAAGGCATAATAACATGCATAGACATTTTCAGGCTGTTTCTGGTTTATGAATGATTCAAGACATGACAGACTATGTCAAGAGCAACTACATCTGCAGGCAATCTTCAACATTCATGTAGAATATTAATATCTTTAAAATTAAGGTTTTAGTCACTAATATCACAAATATTGTATGTTGCATAAATTCACCAAACCCCCAAAAATTTGAAAATGTTATATCTCCTAAATTAATGTATATCAGACAAACAAGTGCATGTATGTAAATGTATTAGGGTTATAATAAAGACAAAGAATTACCTTAAATGATATGTGCACATTGGATTTGGATTAAAAAGGTCAAAAAGCCTAGTTTATGTATCATTCAGTCATTTGCTTACTAATATGCTGTTTAATAAACGATATACTGTATGTCTTTTATATTAGTTTTTGTGTCATTTGGATTGGCACTGATGTATTGGTGTAAAACCACACATGCAAATGTTACATTAATTGCATTTAATTCCTTCACTGACAGCTTATGATGCAATGTTGAAGCATCTACACATTGATGGCATGTGCATGCTTCTTGCATAACGGCTTGTCTTTCTTGGAGTAGAAAGGCTGTCCTTCCAGGTTCACATGGCACACCTGTATGTTGGGACAGAAATGCGTCATAATTCCTCAGTGCTGAATCATTTATAAACCATATGGACAAGTGCTATAACAAAATTATGTTGAACCTACCGCACAAATAAAGCAGGTATCATGCCATGTGTGACCAAGAGCTTCAATAAATTTGTCTCCTGCCTCAACTGGGAAGTCACAGCCATGGCACTTTGTGCTGAAGAGTGCAATATAATCTGGTGACAGAAACATTTAATGAAAATAATAGTAGTCTAGACTGTATAATTGCATACACCAAACTTGTAAATATACAAATTTTTGTCAGACAGCTGGTGGCTCCCATACCTTTCTCACAATACGGCTCACCATCCTCCATATGAAAGAGGCTGTTTCCAAAGGGCTTTCCACAAGCTACACACACAAAGCAAGTGGTGTGCCAGGTCTGCCGCAGTGCATGCATCACTTCCTGTTGAGCAGATGTGGAGTGGAATAACTGTCAGTACCTGTGAAGTGTGGTTTCAGTCATGTCTGTGCGCAATGTTAATATGTTTTCAACATACTCCCATTATCTTGGTGTTGCAGCGAGCACAGGTAGGTGCAAAGAACTCGCCATAGCAGTTTTCACAGTAAACACTATTCTGCTCCTCCACAAAGCTGACATCAGCCAGGGACGTGTGGCAATAATGGCAATTGAACTCCTCTGGATGCCAGGAACGACCCAATGCCACCAGGAATGGTCCCCTGAGGAGTCAAAAAACACTCATTAAAAATGTCCTTGGACATTCATCAAAGACAAATGATGTTTTGAGAACATTTAACAGCAATTTTTTTTTTTGTTAAATCGGACAGATTTCTGTCTTGCTAAGGAAGTGACTGGAAGTGACAAAAATATTCTCTCCAAGTATATTTAAGGTGAACTTTGTTTAAATGATCATAGTTTTAATGATTTAATAATGTCAATATTTAATGTCTGGGTCTGTGATTAAAAAAAATCTACACATAGAATGCTTTTTTATTTTAGTATTATTTAAACACTATTATTGAATTACCTTTTATTTTTAAATTTTCACTTTCTAATTTTATTTCAAATTTGAGTAATTAATAATTTTTGGCTTTTTAAATATATATTTTTAAATATGATATATTTAGCTTTATTTTATTTGAGTTTCAGTTTAAATAATTTTACTACTTCATCTTAAACTAATTTATATTTAAGCTTTATTTTAATTAATGAAATGGCAACATGTATATTTACACACACACACACACACACACACACACACACACATATATATATGAAAAATCAGAAATCTGCTAGTTTGAATACAAATCAACCTCTGGGACATAAAAGTGTCCGAATTCAAATTAAAACACATATCACAAGAGGTCTTGTGATTACAGATGGGTGAATGTCACACAAGTGCTATCACACCTGATGATGCTATTGCAGGCTCCACACAGAGGTGTTCTGTTGCTGGCTGCAAACTGCTCTGCCCTTTGAGCAACTCCACGAGCCACAGGTGGGAAGGGGGCAGGGTTGAATGGAGGAGGGGCGGGGTTGAATGCAGGGCTGGGTGCAGCAGGAGCGGGAGCAGGGACGTGGTTGGGGATGTAGGCTGGTGGTGGTGGGGCCGCCTGGGGAAGAGGGTTCACTCTGATATTTTTGGTGGTGGTGGGTTTGCTAGGGTCAAATTTCTCGGCAAAGCAGGGCTGGGTGCGGCAGGAGCAGGAACAGGAACGGGAGCAGGGACGGGGTTGGGGATGTAGGGCGGTGGTGGTGGGGCCGCCTGGGGAAGAGGCTGCACTCTGACATTTGTGGAGGTGGTGGTGGGTTTGCTAGGGTCAAATTTATGAGCAAAGTTCTCATCAGTAACCCAAGGAGGCCTGTTGGAAGAAGACGCTGGAGCTGCGGCAGGAGCAGGTGGAGGAGGAGCAGGTTTGTGAACCATTGGAGGAGCTGGTGATAAAAGATGCCCATGAGTTAGTATTGCATACATAGTCATACAAAGATGGACACACACATACACTGAATTATATCAAATACAGTAGGTATAGAAAAGAATCACCCCCCTTTAAAGGGGTCATATGATGCTGCTAAAAAGAAAATTTTTTTGTGTATTTGGTGTAATGAAATGTGTTTATGCGGTTTAAGGTTAAAAAAACACATTATTTTCCACATACTG